AGCGCGTCCAGTCTTTGTGTGTTACGAATCGACGATAGGTACAAAGGCTTGAAATGAAATTCTTGGCATTTGATGATTTCTGAGCTACTTTGATTATTAAGACCTTGACTGCTACAAATTTAGAGATCAACCCGGGCGAGTCAGGCTGTACGCAGAATCGGCAGTGTGAAGCGGTATGGCCCGGTGCATACTGTCGTTCAGGAGAGTGTCGCTGTGCGAATAATCAACCTCCATTCAGAACGAGGGATGGACTGGTCAGTGTCAAAACACGAAACTGCATCTTACGAACCTTATCCAAAAAATTTAGGTGTGCTTAAACTATGGATTTTGCCCATTGAATGGTAATAATCCGAAATTCCGCATCGAAAATCAAGTGCAGCAATGTTATGGAGGTGATTTGGAGGATAAGGGAATTATTTGAAGAATAAAATAATATGAGTTTTAGGAGCCGACGCCACTTGTGAAGCCATCGGAGCTCTTGCCTATGATTGTATCTGTGATTCTGATGATTGTACAGTAAACAATCCAATCAGTTTTTGTTGTCCGAGTAGAGGTAACTTTTGGAAAACCTTTCTCCTCAGTTATACGCAATATTATAAGAAATCTACTACGATTTGCCGAAAAAAGTCAATTCCTTTATGTCTATAAAATATCTAGTTTTTGAGATATCTCAGCACTCTATTTTGCTTCGGTTTTCAAGAACTAAGGGCATAGACGCTTTACCTTTTTGAAAAATATTTTACGGTATCTTTTTAGCCTTCGCTTGCATTCAACCACCAAATGAGGGCTACACTCCACCTGGCGGCGGTACTACTCTTAACCATTGGTACCACGACCCAATCACCGGCGAATGCCGAGAGTTGAAGTATCAGGGATACGGTATGTGTACTGTAGTTCCTTCAACCAATCCGAAAGTTAGCTTCTGTTTCTAGGAGGCAATGCGAACAATTTCCAGACTAAAGATCACTGCGAATCTTATTGTAAACAAAGTGAGTGAATTCTTTCTCAAGCTGTCAGGACTAAAGGTGCAAGCGACCTTTTCCAGCTTGCAACCGTGGTCTGCCGTTATACAGAGATCGCACCACTGGAGTCAAGCAGGAGCCAGTTTATTGTCAAGGAAATGACAATGGCTGTAACAATCCTAATTATCAATGTACCACTATGGGCACATTGCAACAGTGTTGTCCTACCTACCGTACGTTTGTGCGCTTAGAAAAAGTTATCAGTTCTTCTGAAGAAAGTGTTTTAAGTGTTCATCTGCTCACGAAATGGAGGAATCCCTACTGAGGTGTACAACACAGCTGGCGGCTTGCCAACGGAATACTTTGACGTGGGAATCCCAGACGGTTCCGGCACCACCTCACCCAGGTTCTACTATGATTCGAGAGAAGGACGATGCATACAGTTCTCGGTTCGTTCTCAAAATTTTCAAGTTAGCTAACCACAAAAGTGCGCTGTCTTAAGATTGTGAAAGGAACAAGGAGGTTGGAAAAAGGAAGGAGGAAATCAATTTTGAGTAAGAAACCCAAAAATTATTGAATCTTGGAAAATTGTGCCGTAATTCTATGTCAGTTTCATGCTGAGATTTTGTAAATTTATATCACAATTCTTTTCAGTTTGTTTGCTAAGAAATTGATTCACAAAAATCCATGACTAGACTGTCTCTATTC